TCCTCCTCTAATCACTTGCAGCATGTCAGCTTTGTCTTTGTTGAACCTTATAGTGTTTGGATATATCAATGTTGCCTTTTTTACATAAATAACGGTTTTACACCACGTTCGAAAATATAATTTGGGCTTGAGTAACGCTCATATGGGTGCTCATTTGGAAAATAGGCATCTAAAAGCACTTATAGGCATTTAGGAACGAATACCCAAAATAGGCATTTATAGCCACTATAAGAACACCATAAAAGCCCTTTTTAACCTCTCATTCATGCTCATATATCAAAATGGCATGATAGGAACGCAAGGAACAAAATAGGCATTTGCCTATATTCCGGTGTCTAGTCATCACCTCTCCCAAAGAAAAAAAGTGCTAAAAAAATCATCGCGTTTCGTTTTCTGCTCCCTCGCTGTCTCAGGTTTTCTGCGCTCATGCTTCCTGCTCCGCAACTCCCACTCTGCACTCTGACCTTGCCCTCCCGTGTTGCCCTAGCCTCTGCGCTTGTAAACCTGCGGTGTCGACGTTTAAACAAAAAGAAAGAAAAGAAAGTCGCCCTTTCATTTTTTTCTCTTCACATCGTCGCGCGTCTTCTGAGAAGCAAGGCGTTCGCTCGCTTTGTCGTCTGCTTGCGTACCGCTCCGGTGGTCGCGATGGATTTGAGAACATGAGTTCATAGTACTGAGGCATTTTTAATGTAACGCGTAACTAAATTAACGCTTGTTATTCGGAAAAGTATGGTATTCTGAAATACGTAGTAGTGAAATAATTTTACATTGAAACTATTAGCAAATGGCACAGGATTTTTTATAAGTTTGTTATTCTGAAAAGTTCGTTAATGTGGGGTTCATTTTACCGAGATTTCACTGTATAGGTTATACTTGTGGTTAATGTGTTAAAAAAGCACAAACAAGCAAACTTCCTCCAAAGTTCTTCAGTGTTGTGTGTACCCTAAGTTGATTAAAATACCATATTTAGTCGCGTAATGAAGGCACTTTTTTCTGGAAAAATCTTAGAGAAGTTGGGGGTGTGTTTGTGTGTTTTTTATGGTGGCAAGTTTTATGGAAACTTTTTCGGGATGAGCAAAATATGTGGTAATGCAAAAAAAAAAGTTAGGTCGCTTAGTCTTTCATCATTGACGTACACGTATGCTGTTTAGAAATAGCTTCTTTGTTGCACTTCACTCACCTTCAGGGGTTGAGGGCACTGTCTTCTACAAGCTGTTCCTGCGCCGCCCGCGCACTCCATAAACACATTTTGCGGCTTTCTTTTCTTGCAATAGTTTACCGCAACAGTGGTATCTGCTGTGATCTTGGAGGGCACACAGAAGCGCACGCTACAACGCTACAACATACTTTTCCAACTTCGTGGCAACCTCGCACGACGACCGCGAAAAAGCCGTTGACATTGCAGCAAGCTACCACCGAAGCATCAAAACAAACCATCGCTAAGAAGATTAACAACCAAATACGGCTTCTATCTCGCTGTTAATATGAGAAGTTGCTGTAGAAAATATAGCCTATATTTTGGGTTTTCCCCATTTTTCTCCCCCGTCGGTAGTCATGGCAATCATCTGTTTGATTGTCTTATTGGCTCACACTCGTCACAATTGGTGCCGTTGGGCGCCAATTGTGATGTGCCGTTGTGGTGGCCGTCGGATATACTGGGTTCCGAGGCGGCCTAAGAAGGACGTCCACACTCTTTCAAGATCAGGAAGGTACTGCCAGACCCTTTTTTATTCCACGTTCCTCGAGCGCCCGCGAGCTCGGCGCCGATTTACTTTGTTTTCCTCGCGCAAAGGCATGAGACAAGCACCGAGCGTCGTCTGCTATCGCTCATCACAATATTTTTATCGTATTACATGCAATTGATGTTCTGGATACTTGCAAGCAGTATGGCACGATTGGCTGTGGGTTGAAAGGTCAATTGCTTGTACTTCGTCTCCATTTAGAATATCATGTTTAGTAATTGTCTGTTAGAGAGCAATGCATACAAGTAAGCAGAATGGCTGTGGCGGCTGCATTTTCGATGGAGGCGGAAATATTGTAGGCCCGTGTGTTCAGATTTGGGTGCACGTTAAAGAACCCCAGGTGGTCAAAATTTCCGGAGCCCTCCACTACGGCGTCTCTCATAAACAAATGGTGGTTTTGGGACGTTAAACCCCACAAATCAATCAATCAATCAATCAATCAACAAGTAAGCAGAATGAATGAAAAAGAGTACAGCACTCTAATAGCTAATTCTTGAGTAACAGGAAAGCTGGGTATTAGGAAGAGATCAGCCTAACTTCAACCCAAAGTGCTTTTATTGAGATGTCATGGGCAGTTACATAGCGTGCTCTAACAGCCCTCCATCAGCCTCTATGCGCAACCTACACCCAGTCGACACATTGTCTGTTGCATGTCGCAGCATTCCTGGAGTAATGAAATAGCACACATCTGCTATTTTAGACTTCAGCCTGTCTGGATTTGTCGTTGCTTCGGTGTAGACACAGTTTTTAATGTATCCCCATAGAAATAAATCTAACAGAGTCAAATCTGGGGACCTAGCGGGCCAATCTACAGGTCTAAGACAGCCGATACATTTCTCGGAGAATCCTCGATCAAGCCACGTTCGAGTATGCGCGCAGCTGTGCAGAGGAGCTTCGTCTTGCTGGAACCAGATATTCCCCAGCTGTGCTAGAGGGAGGCTGCAGGTGAAGTCACTGAGTGGGCCATTAAGTATTTCCCTGGTGTAGCGTTCTTCGGTGAGCGTTCAGTCGAAATAGACTGGGCCAATAATTTTGCCGTCTTAAATGCCACACCAAACACTCAAAGGCCACTGAACCAGTGTTGTGACTGCGACAGCCAATGAGGATTTGTAGCGCTCCAGTAATGGCCGTTGTGAATGTTGACTTGGCCATTGCACAAAAAGCGGGCTCGTCGAACCAGATTATGTTATTCAGGAAGCCGTGATTATCTTCTGCCTGTACCAGTATCGAGTTACAGAAGTCAAGACGTCTTTGAAAATCTCTCTTCCAGCTGTTGATGCAGGTGAACATGGTTAGGGTAAAGTCCTCCACTCTTGAGTATACACCAAACACTTCTGCTAGAAACACCGGTTTCACCACTCACGTCACACACGCTCGCCTTGGGATGGGCTGTCATGAAATGAGAATGTCTGTTCTAAGCGACTAATTCACACCTTTTGTGCGCTCGCGTGGCTTTCTGAAAGTGCCCGTCTCCTTCGAGTTTCGTAATTTCGCGCTAATGTCGAACTATTTACTTGAATTCCAGGGTGCCAGCTGCGAAATAATTTTGCTGCTTCTCTCCTTTTTCTGTTTGCTCGGCTGAGGGCGAAAATCATATTTGCAAGTTCTTAATTAGTGAAACGCATCGTTCCAGACCCTGATTTTCCCTTGTCGAAGCTTGCCTGAAAAAGAACTGTGCACCACGTATTCCCGTCATGCTTTTTATATACTTCCTTCATCACAATTTCACCCTCTCCCCCTTCGTCATGTTTATCGTTAGCCTGAAAAGAAAAGAAAAAAAAAAAAACGCCAGCGCTATCTCAAATGCTGCCTACGGTCCCGTATCACATTCGCACATGCAGGTCGCTTTTTCGTTGAAGTTTTTTTCTGTATCTTCTTTTTCTCTATTTTTTAACGATACCATCCTATTATCGCTTAACGTCCATCGTAGTCACTGATAGCCTGTTCAAGTGACCTTCGTGCTTGAGCAGTCTTACAATTCCACGAACTTACATTTGAGGACACTAAAAATGCAACGCGTTAGGTGGTAATCACATGGTATTTTTTTTTCATTTTTGTGCACTTTAAACGAAGGCTTGAAAAAAATAGAGCAGTGCAGTTATCTCACTGAAGATGAAAAATTTGATTATTTCTGGATGAGCGCTACAAGTTTTGTATTGAATATTTTTATCTAGAGTCATTATATAAAAATTTCATTCAGTAATTTTTATTAATTGCTGAGCTTGGCAGATCGCAAAAAATGTTCTGACGTGTTCTATATGGCTCAGGACAATACTGCATTAATTGGAGGTGTGTAGCGCTGATGTTTAATTTTTTTATCACTTGGTGCTTTTTTTCTGAAACACCCTGTATCATGAGCTGAAACACTGAATTCATGTTTAGTCGACGTTTACATGTAATGTACTGATAATTATGTAATGCATCGATTTGCCGGTAATAGCTTTCCACTTGAACATTTCAACACTCCTGCGCTTGTCAGTTGTGCTTAGCCACCATGGCCTATAAAAGACAGTCTCTTATTTATCCTGGGTATGATATACATTTACACTGTGTGGTAACAATTCAGGCGATATACGGAAACATAAACGTTGTTAGTAAATTACAACATCTGCAGTTAGTGTGAACGAATGCTGATAAAAGCTTATGTTTTGTTACAATGCGGCACGAGCGGCATGCACTCTGTCTAATCAGTGTATCATATTATTAAATGTCAATCGTATTTTTTTTCTGCCATAAAAATTGAAATAATTGCGTTTCATACCAGTTCCACTGCTAACAGTGGCACGTGGAAACACTATATACTGGTGGAATCGTAGAGAGGCCATCATAGCTAGACACAGAAGTTAGTGACTAAAATGCAGTAATATGCTACACCGTGATGCATTGACGGGATTTGGCATAAGCTGCCGCGGCGCAGGCAAAAAGCTAAAGTGTGAGGCCGCGTGCTCAATGTGGCGTCTGCTGTGGTGTACGCACTTTTTTTCATGAGTGCTTGCATACCACACCGTTAGTGACGCACGTGTGCTTGAAAAAGGTCTATTCTATTTCAGCCATCTCGCTCCTGGAAAATCTACAACTTCACTGGTAGGTCTGTATCTTGTAGTGAAGTTTGACATTCATTATGAAATCGGACTAGCAGGCATTGTAATATTCATTCAGCCTTTCTTACTGTTCGACTTATGGTGCATGTTTCCTCTAGCTCTCTTCTACCTCCTACATTTCGGCTCCTACTGACAGCTTATTGTGTGTGTATTTCAGTCTCCTGATGAGCAGCAGGATCTGAACACATCTATCAACAGCACAGGGTCAGAGACATCAATTCAAAGGTCAGTGTCTTTAGACATATGCAGAGTGTTTTTAAATAAAATGGAGAAAAGTTGATGTCTATTGGATGAGAATGTGAACAAATCACTATTCTGTCAAGGTTGGCTCGGTCTTAATCTTATTTGTGATTACTAGGATATAAGACATCTAGCATTTTTGAGTGGGTTTTTATGTAGAAGTGTATTTTATTTCATTTGTTGAATTGAATTCAGGTGTTTTTTATGACCCCATAATTACTCAGTATGCATTAGATTCAAGGGTTCATTACAATCAGGTAAATATGTACCATCACATATGAAGTGTTGTAGCTACAATTATGCATTCTAAACGAAAATTTTTAGTTCCTGTCAGTGTTGCTGTATTTAAGCAATCATTTAAAGGTAATGGATTCCCATCATGTTCTGCATGAATTATGAGGTGGTGCACAGTCATTGTGCACGGTGCAAGGTTCATAGTGATGTAATATTTCTAAATATTTTTATCTGTAAAGACTTGTGGGTCCTCTATCAGTGTCGAAGTGAGGCTACTACTGTGACAATTGCGCTGGCTGTTGCTCCTGCTACATTTATTCAAAATTTGGCGAATATGCATCTAACCTGCCCCCAATGGTGTCCTCTGACTTCCAGAACGAAACTAACTACTTGAGGTTTCCTGATTAAAAGCATCATCGCAGTGTACCTTTGTACAATGCAATCAGAGCCAAGCCAAACTGGGCGAAACGTTGCTGTCCCGATATGCACAGTCACTGTCCGATTTTCTGCACTATAGGACCGTAAAGTCATCTGGAAAAAAAAAAAACAACAAATTGATGTTCTTTTATTCCTCTCAAGTGCTCAAATCGTCCCAGCCACGTCTGAAATGGCTTCTATGCCTCTTATGGTGCACACCCAGGCTCTTGGAAAAACATTGGATGCCTCTGAAGAACTGCCTGCACAGTCAAATCCCGCTACAACGAAATTGACAAGACATATGAAAAAAATTAGTTGTCGCGAAGGTACATTGTTGTGAAACTTCATTTAGAGACCACAAAGTTTGGTAAATTCTGATGATTATGACTCGTCCTTAGGTCCCAGCAAACGCATGCATTGATTTCTCGCTAACTGAGACGTACCTGGCCGCACACCGAGTGAACGTATTTTCTTGCTTAAAACACTATCGAAATATACAGAAAAGTTGGAGCTCAAGTCGAGGTGTGGGTTATACGAGAATGTCGTTGCGCGAGCTTCCTTCACAGCACAGCTTCACAGCGCAACAAGAAAGGCAAATGGCTTGTATACCCTGCTACATGCCATGACCTCACTGCTTCGCTTTAAGGTCGTGGGATCGAATCCCGGCCGCTGCAGCGGCATTTTCGATGGAGACAAAATGCTTGACGCCTGCCTGTGTGCTTAGAATTAGGTGCACGTTGAAGAACACCAGGTGGTTGAAATTTCTGGAGCCCTCCACTATGGCATCTCTCATAAGCACTTGGTGGTTCTGGGATGTTAATAATAATAACAATAATAATAATAATAATAATTATTATTATTATTATTATTACTACTACTACTACTACTACTACTACTACTACTACTACTACTACTACTACTACTACTACTACTACTACTACTACTACTGCTTTGCTTTGCTTTGAGACAGATAGCACAGCAACTGTGCCATTCCTGGTAGTGGCTGTATTCCCTTACACCAGTGTTTTATTGTGATAGTGTTTAACAGCTCGTTTCTCAGAAATTTGGGCGTTGACGTTGTCAATTGAGACTGGAAAATCATCTTGTCCTGGACCGAAAAACCGACAAAGATGCAAATAAAATAAATAATAAATTTTCAGGGTCCGAGTAAGGATCGAACCTTGTCTGTTTGCCTGGCAAGCAGGTGTTCTTCAACACAGCCATGTGTCTGCTTGGAAATAAAATGAAAAAAATGTCCTCTGCTTGGAAATGCAGTGAAAATAACCTTTAGGCGCCCTGTATACAGGCATCAAAATAAAATATGTAATATTGTAGTAATATTGCATGGTACAAGCATACATTGCCACGATTCATCAGAACAGGAGATTATAGCTACCTCGTTGTGTTATGCCAGCCACCCACTATTAATGGCACTCATGACACAGCGTGTACTTTTAAGACTGCCTAGAGGAGGCATAGCAAGTGCGAAAACATTTCACATGCATAATTACTAGTGGTTTAAAGCATGCTACCCATTACACAAAATGCACTACGGACAGGATATTGCTATCGTGTTCAACTTTCAAAGCTGAAGCTTAATTAAGGGTCCCCAAATGTTTCTGTAGATCGAGTTACGAGAGATTCGATCCTAAAGAGTTAGCTGCTGTTAGCCTTACCTCGTACAACATTGCATTTCGTTGCTATTGCTGCCATTACTTTGCCCTTTTGGTAAAAGTGTGATGTTTTACAGCGAAAGCTGTTACGAGATCACTACTCGGGTCACCTGCAGTTGTTCACCGCCGCCGCCGGTGTCTGTAACCACATTTCAGGAAATTAGAAAAAAAAATGGCAGCATATCCACGGAGTGAATGATGGAGAGTGGGGCGAAGCATACGTCCGTCCATTTGTTCTTGCTTCTGTCCGTTCATGCGTCCGTCTGTGTGACCATCCGTGCGTGCATCTGTTCGTGTGTCCATCCACCCGTCCGTGCGTGCATCAGTTCGTGCGTTCGTCCCTGCGTTCGTCCGTGCATCTGCCTGTGTGTCCGTTCGTCCATCTAGTCAACACTCCAAGTACCACCATCTCGCACCTTTTCATCATATTGCCACAATGCAGAAACAGCAGCAGTTGAACACAGGACAACTCACTTTAATTGTACCAGAACACTGGCAAACTGATCGGATGAAAACCCCGTCTTTCTCTCTCGCTGCATATGCTCTTCGTTTTGGTGCTGCATATTCAATGCGGCATTTGCGACCCTCCAGAGAGCAGTGTCCCGGTGGTATTCTACAAAAGACGGTGCAGTAGATGTATGGTGCAAATCAGTCCGAAAGATAGGGCTTCGTTCGCACAATGTGCACGATTTCTGGTTTTTGCTGGCGAGTTGTCGAGGGGTTGTCAGGAACGACCACGTAATTAACGTCACTCAGGCATTGTAAAACTGTGTAGGGGCCAAAATACCTCTTCAGCAATTTTTCAAACAGTCCCCGGCGGCGGATAGGACTCCATACCCAGACTTTCTCGCTGGGTCGATAGACATGTCAGTGTCGCAGATTATAATGCTGGGCGTCGTAATTTTGCTGCTGGGTGATTCGGATGCGTGCAAGCTGCCTCGCTTCTCCTCGTTGGGTAAAAGATGCAGTGTCTAAATCGATGTCATTGCAGTCGTGCAGTAACATGGCGTCAAGCATTGTCGTCAGTTCACGGCCATGAAGGAGACTAAACGGCGTTCTTCGTGTAGTTTCTTGCTGCGCTGTATGATAGGTGAATGTGATGTACGGTAGAATGTCGTCCCAGTTCTTGTGATCCACGTCAATGTACATACTCAACATGTCGGCAATAGTCTTGTTGAGGTGTTCTGTTAAGCCGTTTGTTCGTGGATGACCGGAAGTGATTTTCCAATGGGATGTTCCACTGAGCTCAAGCACCGTCTTCAGGAGCGCGGCCGTGAAAGTGGTACCTCAATCCGCTATTATGATTGCCGGAGCACCGTGCCTCAGGACGATATTCTCTATGAAAAATCATGTGGTTTCAACGGCGGTGCCACTTGACAAAGCCTTTGTTTCCACATAGCGCGTAAGATAAGCAGTGGCGACTATTACCCACGTGTTGCCAGCATGGGAAGTCGGATATGGTCCAAGGAGATCCATTCCAGTTTGAGCAGAAGGTACTGTGGGCACTTGAATTGGTTGTAATAGTCCAGCTGGTTTTAAGGGGAGACGCGGGTCGAAAAGTCGCGGTTTTCCGGAAAATTTTCGCTTTTTTTTTCCAGCTGTATTGGCATCCTTGGACTATAATCTATTACTTCTGAAAATATCAAGCTGAAATTCGCACGAGAAATAAAAATGCTTCCAAGTGGGCAGCGGTGACGCGAGAAATGCGCGAAAGTCTCGAAAAACGGCGAAGTTCGCGTCGTCCTGTCGCGAAAACGACGCGTTGGCCGCCATTTCTAATCGTGCACGCATGCTGCGAAGGCCGTATCCTTCATAATCCACTAGTAGCCAGTCTCGTGCCTTCACGCAGAATAAACAAAAAACGAGAAAAACAACGCGTACGTCACGCGTTTTGAATATCGTGGCACACAGCGCGAGGCCGCCATTGGACGGCGGTGCGCTCCACGCTCCTCCCCCTCCTATGTCTCCGGCAAAAGAGCGAAGCCTTGGACGTCGCGATCGAGTTTTTCTGCGTTTTTCTGCATTTTTGCGTCATGGCAAGCCCGAAGAAGTGCAGTTCAGATAATCGAAAGTTCAGAACTCGCCACAAGTATCGAGGGAAACGGCGTCGGACGCTTCGCAAAGCGACAGCGAACGACGATGTCGCCCCCGACCAACGCCCCGACGCTCCGACTTCGGATAGGCCTAACACCGTCACCGAACCCTGCGACAGTGGTTGTGAAATAGCCGCTGCCGTGGAATTCGTCAGTGCATCCCAAAGGAAGATTAGATTCTTCGAGAGTGAACGTAGACCGGTAGATGCTGCTACTGCGAACATGCTGCTTTGCGAAATCGATGCGCTGACGGCACTTGTGGCGGGTGCGCAATGCCTAACCTGCCGCGAACGGAAGCTCGGCGTGCGAGAGGCAGCTGGAAAGCGCAAAGGACTTTCGGCATTCATAAAGAGGTCATAAAGAGGTCATAAAAGCCACAATGGAGTGGGCACAGTCGTGTCCCTGGACACGGGGCTCTGCCTCGATTTTGAAGTTCTTTCGAACTACTGCCATGCTTGCAGTATACACAGGGACCTTGGGGAGGATGAAGAGATATGGCGAGCTTTTCATCTTTGACTGCTCATCCCATGCAATGGAACCTGCGGCAGCTTTCAATATATGGCAGAGG